ACAAGAAATAACTAAGATCAGAGCAGGACTGAAGGAGATAGAGACACAAAAAAACCTACAAAAAAATCAATCAATCCAGGAGCTGGTTTTTTAAAAGATCAACAAAATAGACAATCCACTAGCCAGGTTAATAAAAAAGAAAAGAGAGAAGAATCAAATAGATGCAATAAAAAACGACAAATAAGATATCATCACAGATTCCACAGGAATACAAACTACCATCAGAGATTACTACGAACAACTCTATGCACATAAACCAGTAAACCTGGAAGAAATGGATAAATTCCTGGACACTTGCATCCTCCCAAGCCTAAACCAGGAAGAAGTTGAAACCCTGAATAGACCAATAACAAGGGCTGAAGTTGAGGCAGCAACTAATAGCCTGCCAACCAAAAAAAGCCCAGGTCCAGATGGGTTCACAGCATAATTCTACCTGACATACAAAGAGGAGCTGCTACCACTCCTTCTGAAACTATTCCAAACAATACAGAAAGAGGGAATTCTTCCCAAATCATTTTATGAGACCAACATCATCCTGATACCAAAACCTCGCAGAGACTCAACAAAAAAAGAAAACTTCACGTCAATATCCATGATGAACATAGATGCAAAAATCTTCAATAAAATACTGGCAAACTGATTGCAACAGCATGTCAAAAAGCTTATCTACCACAATCGAGTAGGCTTCATCCTGGGGATGCAAGTCTGGTTCAATATACACAAGTCTATAAATGTAATCCACCACATAAACAGAATCAAAGACAAAAACCACATGATCATCTCAATAGATGCAGAGAAGGCCTTGGACAAAATTCAACAGCCCTATATGCTAAAAACTCTCAACAAACTAGGTACAGATGGAACATATCTCAAAGTAATAAAAGCTATTTACAAACCCACAGCCAATATCATATGGAATGGGCAAAAACTGGAAACATTCCCTTTGAAATCTGGCACTAGACAAGGATGCCCTCTCTCACCACTCTTATTCAATATAGTATTGGAAGTTCTAGCCAGAGCAATCAGGCAAGAAAAAGAAATAAAGTTATTCAATTAGGAAAAGAGGAAGTCAAATTGTCTCTATTTGCAGACGACATGATTGTGAATTTAGAAGACCCCATCATCTCAGCTCAAAATCTCCTTAAAATGATAAGCAACTTCAGCAAAATCTCAGGATACAAAATCAATGTGCAGAAATCACAAGCATTTCTATACACAAATAAAAGACTAAAAGAGAACCAAATCAAGAGCGAACTCCCATTCACAATTGCTACAAAGAGAATAAAATACCTAGGAATGCAACTAACGAAGGATGTAAAGGACCTCTTAAAGGAGAATTACGAACCACTGCTCAAGGAAATAAGGGAGGACACAAACAGATGGAAAAACATTCCATGCTCATGGTTAGGAAGAATCAATATTGTGAAAATGGCCATACTGCCGAAAGTAATTTATAGATTCAACGCTATCCCCATCAAGCTACCTATGACTCTCTTCACAGAACTGGAAAAAAGTCACCTTAAACTTCATACAGAATCAAGAGAGAGCCCAGATAGCCAAGACAATTCTAAGCAAAAAGAACAAAGCTGGAGGCATCATGCTACCTGACTTCAAACTATACTACAAAGCTACAGTAATCAAAGCAGCTTGGTACCAGTACCAAAACAGAGATACAGACCAATGAAATGGAACAGAGGCCTCAGAGGCAATGCCACACATCTACAACCATCTGATCTTCTTTGACAAACCTGACAAAAACAAGCAATGGAGAAAGGATTCCCTGTTTAATAAATGGTATTGGGAAAACTGGCTAGCCATATGCAGAAAGCAGAACCTGGACCCCTTCCTGACACCTTACACTAAAATTAACTCCAGATGGATTAAAGACTTAAACATAAGACCCAACACCATAAAAACCCTAGAAGAAAACCTAGGCAAAACCATTCAGGACATAGGCATAGGCAAGGGCTTCATGACTAAAACACCAAAAGCATTGGCAACAAAAGCCAAAATAGACAAATGGGACCTAATTAAACTCCAGAGCTTCTGTACAGCAAAAGAAACAATCATTAGAGTGAACCGGCAACCAACAGAATAGGAAAAAAATTTTGCAAGCTACACATCTGACAAAGGGCTAATATCCAGAATCTACAAAGAACTAAAACAGATTGGCAAGAAAAAAATAAACCCATTCAAAAGTGGGTGAAGGATATGAACAGACACTTTTCAAATGAAGACAGATGATGCCAACAAACATATGAAAAAATGCTCATCATCACTGGTCAATAGAGAAATGCAAATCAAAACCACATTGAGATACCACCTCACACCAATTAGAATGGCAATCATTAAAAAATCTGGGGACAACAGATGCTGGAGAAGTTGTGGAGAAATAGGAACACTTTTACACTGCTGATGGGAGTGTAAATTAGTTCAACCATTGTGGAAGACAGTGTGGCACTTCCTCAAGGACCTAGAAATACAAATTCCATTTGACCCAGCAATCCCATTACTGGGTATATATCCAAAGGATTATAAATCGTTCTATTATAAAGAGACATGTACACGTATGTTCATTGTGGCACTGTTTACAATAACAAAGACCTGGAACCAACCCAAATGCCCATCAGTGATAGACCAGACAGGGAAAATGTGGCATATATACACCATGCAATACTATGCAGCCATAAAAAACGATGAATTTGTGTCCTTTGTAGGGACATGGATGAATCTGGAAACCATCATTCTCAGCAAACTGACACAAGACGAGAAAATAAAACACCATGTGTTCTCACTCATACGTGGGTGTTGAACGATGAGAACACATGGACACAGGGAGGGGAGCATCACACGCTGGGGTCTGTTGAGGGGAACTAGGGGAGGGACAGTGGGGGATAGGGAGGTCAGGGAGGGATAACATGGGGAGAAATGGCAGATATAGTGATGGGGGATGGAGGCAGCAAACCACATTGCCATGTATGTACCTATGCAATGATTCTGCATGATCTGCACATATACCCCAGAATCTAAAGTACAATAATTAATACATATATTTATAGAAATGCAAATCAAAACCATAATGAGGTAACACTTCACACTCATTAGGATGGCTGTAATTGTTTTTTAAAAAAAGGTAAGTGTTGACAAAATGGAGAAATTGGAATGCTCATACATTGCCAATGGGAACATGAAATGGTGCAGCCACTATGAAAAAGTTTGACAGTTCTTCGAAATATTAAAGATAGAGTTACTACATGACTTAGCAATTCCACTCCCAGGTATAGACTCAAGAGAAATGAAAATGTAAATCCACACAAAAGCATGTACACAAACAGTATAGTGGCATTACTCTTAAGAGCCAAAAAATGGAAATAACCAAAATGTCCATGAACCGATGAATCAAATGTGGTCCATCCATACAATGGAATATTATTCAGCCATAAAAAGATAAGTCCAGATTTATGCTACAACTTCGATGAACCTTGAAAACATTATGCTAAGTCACAGAAGACCACATTTCACGATTCCATTTTTGTGAAATGACGAGAATACGCAAAGCCATGAAGATAGTAGATTCATGGTTGTCAGGGGCTAAGGGGAAAGGAGAGAATGGGGAGTGATTGCTAATGGGCATGGATATTCTTTTAGGATGACAAAAATTAGATCATCATGATGGTTGCATAACTTTGTGAATAAACTAAGAACCACTGAATTGTATATTTAAAAATATGAACTGTGTGCTACATGAATTATATTGCAATAAAGCTGTTATAAAAAAGAGAAAAAGAAAACATTTCTGTATGAACTCCACCAGAAGACCTGACATCTACTCTGGAGAATGTTAAGCCACCACTGACTGAATTAAATTAACATGAAGCTGAAATTAAAGTGGAGTGCTGGTGTAGAACATGGAAGAAAATTGAGCCATCTTTGTCTCTGATAGGCATTAACCCCCACCCCCGCCCCCAGGCTTAATGGGGGCTGGAAGATGGTCAAAGCTCTCAGCGAATGAACAAAATATACTTCCTTTATGGACTGATACCACCAGGACCTGTCCATGTGGGAAAAAAAATCATCTGAAGGAAAGAGCTGCAGAGATTCAGAATGGGACTCTGGCTTCAAAGACAAGTGGCTAACATCACCCACAGAACCTGCTGCTTTTCATTCTACAATAGTGTAAGCAGAAGAAAATCTACAGCAGCATCTGACACCTGCAAGAGCCCAAAAGCAGGGTCATGATGGCTCTTGGGTATTTATTTTAGTGACTGGCCAGGCTCACTTGCGGTCAAGTGACAGGAGCAGGTTTCTGTCCTCAACACTTTCCTCAATTTCACTACAAAGAAACTGAAGCAAGTGATGGCTCTTCTCAAAGCCAAAGTTTTACAGAGAAGGATGGTTTGCCCAGAGCATCATTGTCTCAGTCCCTGGCCATGTCCACAAGTGTCTCCACCCTCCCTCCAATATCCGTTCCAGCTGGTTAGATAAATATAATGGAGGTTCTGCATGTAACCATTCTGTGCTGAGATGACCAACAACAGAAACTCTTTGCAGAGATTTAAAAAGAATCACATACCACACCTACTGAAAGTGTGTCTGTGGGTGAAGGAGCTAGCCATTTGCCCTGGGGGAACAGGAGATAACACAGGCAGAGAGGCAAAATTGCCATTTACAATACTATCTTCTTGCCAGGAAAATCCGGGACAGCACAAGAATGAGGGGTAGGAAACAACAGAAGGTGAGAGGAAGGGAAAGAAATCAAACCAAACCAAAACACCACAGCCTAGGACTTGCCTGCCCTTTTATGTCAGGTTAAGTCCTATAGCTTATAAAGCCTTCTATGTGACTGGGAGACTTGAATCCCATGACAGAGATGAACAAGATAAAACTTAGAACCATGAAATCCTTGTATTGATGTGCATGTAAATGTCAACACATTTACACATCCGCGTACATCTCCGAGCGAGATTCTGACCTCGCTCCTGTTTATGTGGTCTACTTACTTCTGGACTGTTGGATGCGGTTTCACAGTTGCTGCAGAAGCTGGGCCACTTGCAACAGTGGAAGGCTCTTGGTTTTCTGTAGCTTGATTTTCTGGTCTGAATTTCCTACGAATGGGCTTTGATGGTGGCTGAGAATACGGTACATCCTGTGGATTTAAAACAATAGAATTTAAAAGTTAAACATTTAAATGTTCCTTCCACTCTTCTTGCCAGTGTCCCACATTCCTTTAGCCCCAATCCCAAGATCAGGAGGTGCTCCATCTATTGACCCATAGCTCAGCAAGAACTGGGGGGCACAGGCATCAGAGTCCAGTGGTCTTCCCTTTTTTCTTTTACTTTTTAAATGTTTCAAGAAGTCTATTACTTCTTGTCACCTGAAACTCACACAGACCCTGGGTGCATCTCACACCATGGGGCCTTTTCTAACTGAAGACAAGATAGGCTCCTGCCTCACTTTGGAGCCTTTTAAAACCTAAGCTTTGGAAGTTTTTAAAAGTCTTAGTCACATGCTCATCATTCTCCTACCCCCAATTCCTACATAAAGTCAAGAAAAGGAGCCACACTGTATTCTGGAAGGACACAGTTGTTCCACTTCCTTGGAGGACTCTGCCTCACCTGTGCTCCTGAGCCCAAGGCCCACTTTCTCTGAAGGCAGAAGAGCCTGGGAGAAGGACAAGAAGAGGGTGAGGAGATGAATGGAAAGTATGATGAATGATGGGTACTTACTGAGTAAATGACACGTGTCCCAGCAGCATGGCTGGGCAGATGTCAGGTGAAAATGACAGGATGCAAGAGGAAACCATGGTACAAAGACCAAGAAAAAGAGCTACCCCACCCCAAGAGGTGCTCACAGAGGCTTAGCAGGTAAATGGGGTTTTGCTAAATACATGTGTCCCTCCCCACAGCCCTTTATGATCTTGCCAAAAACAGGGCCACCATGTTTAGCTGGGGAGTTAAGAAGGTGAGTATGTACTGTCATATACAAAATGACATCAAGGGTCAAGCCCAGGATTCTTCAGGACCCCAATCTTCACAAAGAACCCATATTCTAGGAAATCTGGATCACTGACATTCATTTCAGGACACAGAAACCTTCAAACAATAGATCTGCCAATAGAGATAAGAAGCCCAGGGGTGGGAATTACAACACCATCTGATAGCATCCTGAGGCTGACCTTACCTTCTTTGAGGGACTACTTTCTGCAGCCTGGGACGGGGCTCTGCTCAGCTGTGGGGGTAACTCGGCCTCCAACACTTGTTCAGACTGTAGCAAGAGATCAGAGAGAGGACAGAAATGCAAAAACACAATCACCTAAATACATAACAAAGAGCACTTAGGAAGATAATCACCAAGGGAAAACTGATTTAGGCCACCTTGCAGCCAAGAATGCTTATGTCTGCTGATCCTTGGGAAAAACCTCCCATAGATGATTCTATACCCTCCCATTCCTCCTTCCCAGATTGTTCAACCTTAGGAAAAGGAATCACGGGAATTTATTCTATAATTGAATATGTGTATGTCTAAAAAGCTAATGCTTTGCAACAACAAACTCTAAAAATAACGAGGCTTATAAAAAAACAGGGTTAGAAAAAAATGATTTTAATTTGAGCACCAACAAAAACAATCATCATTTAAAACACTGTGATGTTTTTAAATGTTAAGTCTCTAATAAAGAAATACTCTATGAACAGTATGAAGAAGAGGTGAGAACTAGCCCCCAGGCCAACCAAAGCCCACACGCTGCTGCATTCCCAGATCCAGCACCTACATTCCACTGCAGTTGCCACCACCATGCCCAAGAGAAAAGCTGAAGGGGACACTAAAGAAGATAAAGCCAAAGTGAGGATGAACCACAGAGAAAATCTGCAAGGTTGTCTGCCAAACCTACTCCTCCAAAGCCCAAGCCTAAAGAAGCCCCTGCAAAGAAGGGAGAGAAGCTAAAGGGGAAAAAGGGAAAAAAGCCCACGCTGGCAAGGAGGGGAATAACCACACAGAAAATGCAGAGGCCAAAACAGAACAGGCACAGAAAGTTGAAGGCACTGGGGATGTCAAGGGAAGCGTGTGCATTTTTGATAACTGTGTACTTCTGGTGACTGTGCAATCTGAAGTACTCATTTTTTATTAAGTTTTATAAAAATGCAGAATTGTTTTTTTCTTTTAAGCCATGTTGTTAGCACACTGAACATGTCATTGTTGTTTTATGGAGAAGTGGCATATGTCACTAACAGTATGTATCTGAAGCTGGACTGATGTGGAGGAAACACCTTTCCCTTCTAGTTTTGTAAGACATCTTCCTGGTTCCCAGGAGGAGGGACTGTCTGACATTGACACACACAGTCACCTTGGCACAAATGCCTTGTGGCACGGAGAAAGAAACTCCTCTTAATGTCCCCCCCCCCTTTGCCTTCAGTATACACTTAACTCCCTCAAACCCTCTCCCTGTTGGGGTCTGGCCCCTAATAACTGGTTACCAGTCAGGCTGGGAATCTGGACTTTCCAGTGAGAACTTTTGAAAGACCAGTGCTCTGTTTCTAGATTGTGGATCTTCAGATAAAGTCCGCCATTTTTGTGTCATTTCCTGAAAGTCAAGGTCAGCTCATGGAAAGTTCTTAAACAACATGTTGAATATGAAATGTCAAGCCTGACTCTGAACTTTCCCTCTTCAGGGCACCAAATGAAGACTTCATTGGGTTTTATTATGGGTTTCTGGTTTTGGAAGCCCATTGAAGGAGGGAGTCTGAAAGTTGTATACTGTTAATGATTGTCATTCATGTCCTGCCTAAAATACCATGATTGTTTACAAAAAGTATTTTTAATAAAGCTGGATACAGTTTGAGGGAAAAAAAAACACTTTAGTAAATATGGCCCTTTACCTTAAAAAAGGAAGAGAGACTGTAGTCAAAGGAGTTATCAGAAGGGTCGAGGGTGTTGAGTGGGATGGAATCAGTGACTAGACTCACAAAAATTGGCAAGGAATGTCACCAAAGCACTTCAAGACAGATCAGGTGCCAATCAGTGAAGTGGAAGAACAGGGTAACTGGGCCTCATGAGCAGCTCCCTATGTCCCCCATTTCCCCCAGTCTTCTGCCTACAGCTATGTTACAGTAGTTTGCTTTCAGCCACTAGTAGCCAGTGATGCCAAAACATTCATGTGCTGAGAAGGAACCCTACATATGAACCAACATGACTTCTACATCATACTGACACCAGTCACCTACTGATCCACAGGTAATTGTCATTACAGAAACACACATTGTAGCACAACAAACTGACTTCACGTGCCCACTTCATCCCTAACCTGGCCTTCTCTAACCTCCTTCAGAGTGTGGCTTCTCCCTCTGACTCCACTGAAATGGCTAGTTCCCAAGGGTGCTAACATACTCCCACATTATGGCTGCCTCTTCCTGTCTTCTCCTCATTGATCTTCTGCCCAGTATAGTGCCTTTGACTACCTTTTTTAAACTCCTGCCCCTGGCATCTGAGAAGCTGCAATCTCCTAACTGCAATAATTCTTTTTCCTGTTTTGACTCTTCTTATCCCTCAAATGTAGGATTTCTCAAAATTCTGTCTTTAGTTCCCCACCCACTTTTCCCTCCCTGTTCATTCTCTCTCAGGGTAATTCCATGTGTTACTACATTTCGTCCCAAGCAACTCCCCATCTCCTCTAAATCTACTATGCAAGCACTCAACATTCCTGATTTCTAGTTCCAACTAGTTCTTATTGCTTTCTCTCTTCCATTAAAGTAACTATATTGTTGTTGTTGTTGTTGTTGTTAATAGGTACTATGATGCATACAACACTTACTATGTGTCATACATTAATCAAAGGGCTTTGCATGGATTATTGCAATTCATCATCATAGCCCTAGGAAGTAGTTATTATCCCCATCTTATTGGTGAAGAAATTGAAGATCAAGAAGTTAAGGAACTCACCCAAAATCACACAAATAGAGTCTGAATGCAGGCCTTGATTTCTATGCAGTCTTAGGTGCTCCCAAGGCCTGGATGTTACTCATTCAAGACATATTTATTAAGCAGCTACTACAGGCAGGCCCTGTGCTAGCACTGGCACTCAAGGATGACCAAGACACAGACCCTGCTTAAGAGAAGCTTGAAGTCTAGTGGGAGCAACAGGGAAGTGACAAAGCCAACTTGCTTCAGTGGACTGTGGAGGGCAAGTATTAGGACTTCAGAAGCACCCAGCCTCATAGGTCTGCAAAGACTCAGGAGCAGTTGATGTCTCAGCTGAGGCCTGGGCTAAAAGAGCAATGTGTGGGAATGGCGAGAAAGACCCAAAAGTAAGCTCACAAAGGGACTCCCATGCTCCAACATCCATAATTTCAGCCGGGGCTACCACAAGAATACTGAGGTCAATCGTCAAGATGAGAAACATAGGAGAAGCAGGAGTGAGGGGAACTTGTCTTTAGGCAGACTGAATTTGAAGTACTTGGGAAACAACTAAGAAAAGCTGTCCAGGAGCCATTCACTGTCAGGAGTCTGGGGAATACAAGCCCTTACCCTACTTTCCCTGGAGGTTCATATAAATGGAGGCATACTCCAAGCTGTATGAGCCAAAAGTCGGCTTTATTAACAGCTAAGAGAGGACCTAGTAACCACCTGAATGCAGGGTCTCCTATGAACCATGCTGAAGAATCCAACTTGAACCTGAGGCCTCTTCTTGCCTTTTACCTGGAAATCTATTGCTTGGAATGTAGTATATGTTCTGGCCAAAGTCTAGGCATATGGCCTCCTGCGAGGACCACAGGTATGCAGTGATATCTTGCAGCAGGTAAGCAGAGAGAGGATAACAGTTTCAGGCTCTCTACCTTTCAGTTAGTTGGTTCTCCTCCATCACCAGGTGGACAGAGAAGTGTTTGCTCTACCACTCCGTTCCCTGGTGAGATGAGCAAAGTCTCCTTGTGGAAATACTGAAGGAGGTGATAAATGGATGCTTTTTCAACATAATGAGGATTCCAAGCACAGCAAAAGTAACAGAGCATCTTTGTTATTGCCTCCTTTTCTCTTAAACATCTCTAAAAACACAAACAATGGGGTAGGGGTTGAGGAAGCAGATGGAGATGTGTCTTAAAATGTTTTTCATTTGCAAATTTATCTTCCTGAAGTTGTATGCAAAGGCCTGGGTTTTCCAGCTCTATATCTGGTAACACACTACTGCATGGTGTTATGTCAGGCTAAATCTGACCATCCATCCCCTAAATTGATTCATCTATCAAGCATTCAGAGGAGCGAATCTCAGAAGTGACCTAGGACACAGGCTTCAGGAAGGTCCCGGAATAAAGCACAGCCTTGACAGAGCCAGACGTTATCCCAGGAAAAGAGATAGGCAAAGATAACCAGCTTTGTGATAAGAAAAACTAAAGATGAGATTGAAGCATGCAAAAGACCCTCTTTACAATAAGCTTTCCTTCATAAAAGTAGTGTGAGGCTTATGTTAGGCTTGGCATGTGGAAAGCAGAATAAGGTTGGGAGGTTTCTTTGCTATTTCTTGAGACTTTTCTAAGTTACCAATTTTTGAAGAATACTCCGAGAAAACAGGGGGCCTCAGTGGTTCTCTTCCTCCTCTGTGTATTTGGGGTTGGGGGGAACAACTCTGACACCATGATAATAGGCCTTGTCCAAAAGTTTTGGTTTTCTGAACTGAAATCCAGTGATTGATTCTCGTGGAAAAAAAAAAACAGATATATGGATTATAATTAATATTGCAAATGGCAGTTCTGCCCTCATGGTTCCATGTGTAACAACACGTACCCAGTCAGGATGTCACAAACCAGAAAAATGTACATTTAGCAAAGAGCTCACTGAAATGTGGGCTAAAGTTCCTTTTAAAAATATATATCTAACATTATAATATTAATACTTCCTTATTCACAAATAGTAAATATACTTTCATTCTAATTTTGCAATGAAAATCCTGTACTTAGAGACTGCTGCCACTCAGGATGTGGCAAATTGTCCTGGGTCTTTGACCATTCCCATGGTTGATGGGATAATATGACCCCTGCTGAGTTGCCTTCCCAGAAATGAACACAGGTCCAGAGAGGCTAGGCATTTCTGTGCATTCATTTATTCAATTACACAGATATTTCTTTAATACCTCTTGTGTGTCAGGGACCATGGTAGCTGCTTGGGACATGAGTAGGGGGAGTTCCGCTGTAGTAGGTGCTACGTTGGCCCAACCTGGGTCACCTTTCCCTGGCTGGCACACCATCCCCCAGCTGCTCTGAGTGTTGGCTACTGAAGAC